ACAGGCGGGGCGTATTTTATTCTTTCGCGAAAATCTCGATTCACTGCCGAATAAGCACCAAACGAAATGACAGCGAAAGGCATGTGGTGGTTCTCAACCAATCGCGATCAGTTCGATCCAATTTCCCGTCATGACAGAAGAGGGAGATTACGTCGATAGAATGGAGAAGTCCGGGCCACTGAAGAGTATAAATGAAAATTCTACTTTGATTTGTGGGCGGAAAGATTGAAGGAGAAAACACAAATATCCGAGGATTTATATACGGGATTAGCCGACAGCTCTGTTGATGTAGAGAAATTTCGGTACCGCCGAACGAAAGTTAGGAAACCGATGGAAACGGGTTATCGCATACCAATTTGCTTCACGATGCGGGTCCGCTAATTGATCCGCCAAGTATGCGCATAACATCCAGCCGTTACAAACGAGTCGCGAACAAAGAGCGGCACTAATTTGGAGAATTCAGTTACAGTTGTCCAACGGCCATTGTACTACAGTTCATCGTTTCTATTTCCAAAGTAACACCGTAACGTGCATATCGAGGTCAGTCGAATTCGAGAAAGGGCGACCAATCCGTTAGATTTAAGTCGTTTTTTGCGTTTTCGTTCGTCTCCTGAGGCTTAGAAATTTTACTTAAATAATTGTTAATTATTATTACTGAGATACTGGCATTGATAATTATGGTTGTTATTTAAATCCATGCCTCGTAGCAACTCGTCTCGCGGATCTCTTTTGACAGTCGCAACCTTTTGTAATCTCGTACAGGAGTATTTACTTGCCAGTGGGATGCGCGCTTGTCTCGAGGCGATGCTTATAGCTATAATTAATTATGACAAAAGCATTAGCTCCAGCGATACGAAGTCAGCTCGTCGAATGAACTCGATGGATCGCCATAGAAAATTTACATGCGTCATAACGTGACGCGTTAACTCGACTAGACTGGCGAATGCATAGGCTTGTTTTCTGTTCCTACACTAGTGAACTAGTGCAATAAATTGGAGTAAGACAAGCATATTTTTTCTCATTCTAGCTTACTGCACTAGTTCACCAGTGCAGGAACAGAAAACAAACCCCTTATAACGAGTATACTTTGCTTCATATATTTTTTCTGCCGTTATGCACGTGGATGTTTTTCTCACGCTAGTTTCCTTTTAAATAGTGTACATTTATCTGTAATCTATAAAATTAACAGTTGACGGCTTGCCTGTCTGATATCGCTTTAAAATTAATATTCATTTTTCCAATATTTCCTAAATCGCAGATACTCTGCATCTCAAACAAAGCTTTATAAATATTATACATTCTCAAAAGGTACGTGCTGTCTGATTTTCTCATCATAATTGAATACATTAATTTTATGAAAGCCCTCTTCATACAACCCATCCCGAAGACGATTAACGATGTTGTTATATAAATAAAGATAGAGCAGGCCCTGGTAATCCGTTTATTCGTGATTGGATTTCAGATTCCATAGATATGCCACGAGATTTCTTTCCTCCCTCGAAACCGTTGTTGAAGGCCATTCGATTAAAAAGTATTTTCATTATATGATGTTTACTCTAGAATTAAGCAGACCCCGCTAAATCCCCCCTTTTTTTCTATACAGTAACAAAGTGGATAACTACAATACAATCTCTATACTGTAAAGTGCAATGTATTAAGCTGCGAGGTGCTTATTTTTAACTCGGTAGTTAAATATATTAAATAACTTTGCCTCAAAATAACCTTTCTTGAAATTTTGTAATTATTTTTTGTAATTAAGTTTGCAATTCATTTGAATAAATTTGTTGCGATTATTGAAGATGCCTTCGTCGGTACAACGTTTAGTCTGGGCACTGTTTTTAAATGAGTATATCAAATTAGATAAAGCGCAACGTGTTTGTGGCAAGTGGCAGAAATTCGTTTCGCAAATAACGTGCTTTTAATCGTTGAAAATTATTCAAGACCGCGAGCTTTGTCGCGATAGAAAAACGAACTTCTCGTTCCACTGTTTTACTGTTGTGCGAATGACGCATAAATCTCCCTTCGTAATTCGTTTCCGATGGACTACGCGAGCGTAACGCAAGCCGGATTTCTATACTACGAGGGAAATAGAATGCACGGTTAATTACATATAATATTTTACGTAAGTCGTTTGTAACAGTAAAATTTACTATATTCGTAAATAAACGCTGTCGTTGAATCACGCAAATACGAACTTGTATCGCGATCATCGCGAAAAGATTAGATTGACACGTGCAGCGTGTGAGCTTGACACAAGTGTTAATAGACTTGCGTGACTTTAAATTATAAAGCACGTAGATGAGCTTTCCGGATAAGTCACACGGTTTTATTTCCGACGCTTCACGACTTTATTAATACCCGTGTCAGTAACGCAACGCATATTTTCAAACGCGGATAATTAACATGACGGAAAAAATAATTTGATCGTTGAAATTAATTTGTATGAAATATATAAATCATTTTATGCATTTTAATGCATTATTATGCCTTTATTACAACTATCTATTATAAAGTAATGTAACTTTTATTAACAAAATTAATTGTCGAAAAAGCAATTTGCCCTTTGTTAATTACATTTTGAATACAATGTTACATAAATTCTTTTAACGTATAATATATTGTTATAATTTCTGAAATACGTAAAAATTTGTTCAGAGTCGCTGAATATCAGAAGATTTTGCTGGGATTATTAAAACATTGTTTCAAGCTTTTTGTTTTAACGGGCAATTTTCGACTTTGTCGGTAAATCGAGCTGAAAATTTTTGCTTAATTCACCATTTATACTATACGGAATCACGCTGCAAGCGTAATTTCCTCCGGGAGTTCTCCCTAATATGAGAAACTTTAAGAGTTTAGGTAGCGTTTCGCGTGTACGAAATAGGAGATAGAAGAGCCTCCTCTCCACTTGAAAGAATTCTTATTTAAAATAAGCGAATAACCAATTGTCGCGGTCTTCCTAAACAAATTTCGGAGCATGTAATACGCCGATGAGGCTTTTCTGGGACGAAGGATGCGACTTCTTGCGAAAAACTAATAACTGCGATGGATTGTACGCACCGCGAAACATCCGCAGTTACAAGAAATTATCGCAAATTGTTACAGGTGTAAATAGACACGAGAATTTGGAATGCTTTCTGAGAATTTACGAGAACGTTATTTCGCTTCAATTTGGCATCCAATTTTCTTTCGACGTTTCTTGCGCTCGTCTAACTTCCGCCCATCCATTTCAATTTAGATTTCGCGAAGCTCAATTACACTTGCTACCGTAGTAGGTACAATTTTAATCGCACGAATTCTTCCCTTCCGTTCTTCGATTCCACGCATACAACGACTATATTTTGTGTAAGAGATAAATGCGCCCGCCGTAAATATCGGTAGCCCCGGGAAAAATCGATTGCAACGCGAATCCATCTCACCGCAAACACTTTGAGATGCAACGATCTGTTCTTTCCATATGGAAAAAGTCTATCAGGATTTATGGTGGAAATTTCACCTTACACCCTATCTTTTAACCACATGATCTTGTTCAAGTTGATTTTACTATATTCTTATAGAGTCTTCCATTCTTAAAACAATCGCGGTTATACTTGATACTGATTAATGGTCTTTATCCCTCCTTCATAATGGTTCTCTACCTTTAAGTAATATTTATCGAATGAATCATTCACGATAATGTGCACTTAAAAGAAGCAGAGTTATGATTAGATGGCGTTTTTAATGGAAAAAGTTTTTAATAAAAAAAAATCAAATTCGTATAATACATTGACAAAATTTTCAGAAATAGGAATGTTTTAAAATCAATGAAAAACATTCACGACCAGTGTAAAAACCGAGCTAGAACGTTGCCGAAATGTTTCATAGAATGAACATTTATTTCGCGCTATCTGTAGACACATCGCGGAAATGAAGAAGTAAAATATAATTTATTTGTTCGTTTAAACTTTGTACCTTTCTATGCAAATTGCATTAGCACCGCGGAAGGAGATATAATTATTCATTGGCTTGTTAGCATATTATTCTTGTGAAATTTTCTCCTATAGAAAAACGAAGAATCCTTCTAACATGAGTTTAACCTTTACGGCCAAGTCTTTCTCAGGGTAATATCTCGCAGGAATAATGTATATGTATACCCATGAAAATATAAATGCGTGTTAACGTACAAATGTGTGGTTGGTCCCTGGATTTAGAACGGTTTAAACATATTTTTGGTTAATATTTTTAAGATTAAAACGCAATTAACATAAATATCTTATGTCTTCCATCAAACGTGCTGTAACTATTCCAACCATACGTTTATCTATTAACATTCTAAATGTGCCTTTTACTTATTAGCGATTGTCTTACAATTAGGGACGATGAATGTTGCGCGGTTGAAATAATTTAAGAAAAACGTAATCAAGAAAGTATGCACTTAAAATGTGAATTACAGTTTTATATCTTTCGGCCGAGGCTTCCTAGACGTTCATTAATTTTCTTCTTTTTATATTTCCACGGCGGAACAAAGAATTTCAAATCAGCTTTAAGTTATAACTGACGCGATAAACGGTAACCCTCTCGACGGAGCTTTATGACGTTGCTCCCGGTTCCTAAGAAGATTCGACATTTTCCTGAAGCTTTTCCGAGCTTACCCTATTCTGAAGGGACATCTAGAAGTTTTTTTGAATGGCCAAATTCATTAAACATACAAGAAACTTGCGTTCTAATACATTTGTATATGTTACGTAAGCTAAGACGTGAACTGGACTTAAAATGTCAAGTGCAACCCTCGAAATGCGGAATAAGAAGAACTCTAATGCGCCCACGAAGACGCACTTTCGTCATGCGGCACACGTTTATTACATGTACGCGATATTCGTCAGTGTTTAGTGAAACGTAGTATACTAGTAATCCATAAACGAGGCACCGGCAACCTTTGGAAATTTCTTTTCCGATGGGGTCAATATGATGAAACTTTTGATAATCTCGGTACATGAGCGGATCGTTACATTGCGGGAACATACCTGTCGTTCACCAGCCATGCCACCCTCGTACATGCTTCCTCGTCGATAATACACCGCCGGCATACAAAATTTTAACGGTACGAACCCACCGGGACCCCGTCTCTATAGTCTTATCGCACTAGAATTTTTGTTTAATCTACCGATAATTATGCTAGATGCTGTTTTTAAGGTCGTTTATTATTGTGCCTGTCACGATTGTTTTGTCGGTTATATCTTCATCTCCTCTCCGCTCCTCTCCATTGACTTTTCGTTCCGGCTTTCCGTATGACCAAAATATACTATGAATCGTCAACGTCGTTAAGATATGTACGCTCTTTTCTTATGTGTATAGAAATATTACTTTTCTCTCCCTCTCTCTCTCTCTCTCGCTCTCTTCCTCGGTGCAGGTGATCTCGTGTTCGTTAACAAGTGATATTTTGGAACTCTTCGATATCTCTTCGTTCTTCAAACCGCTTTCTTGCGCGGCGCGCGATGGTGACAACAAAAATAGACGCGCGTGCGACGGTCAAGTATGTGCAATATGTATTAATGTATATATATATATCTCTCTCTCTGTCTATATATTCGTAGGAAGATCACTGGTTATTTAGGCTGCTACTACAGGTCCAGAACTTGTCTCCAGGCCACGGCAAGCGAGGTCGCCGTGTCGAACCGAGCTCGCTCTCGCAAGTTCGTCGTCACCCTCTCGACCGAGGTGCATGACCCGTTGACGGCAAAGTGGATTGTTGCTGATCCTCGCGATCCTTCTCTCTTAGGCTCTGGTTTCGTCCTCTCGTTGAAACGATCTCGTTGACGCGCTGTTTCGACGCTACGGGGTTACTTCGCCCGAAGACACCTCGGCGTCTCGAAAGTTTACTCCTCCAAGTGGCGCTCCGGGACCCGGAGCGTGTCCCAATAATCGTTATCCCCCCCTCCGTTCGTGTGATCGGGCCGATCTTTCCACGCGAAGGTGTATCCACGGCGAATCGAAGGGCCCTTCGGGCGATCGGGCGGACGACGGCGATCGTTTAGGCTGCGCGAGGGATCCGCACCCACGCGGATCGGCACGCGTGATCGACGGTCAACGATGACGGCGACCGCTCGTTAAGGGTGCATGACTCGTTGATGTCTCGCGTGCGCGCGTACACAGTGTGGGCGGGCGACATGTGAGCCACGCTGATGTGCGTATGCACCACCTAAACCCGCGGTTTTCGGCGCTCTTTCCCCCGACTTTCGTTGCCTTCTAGCTCGCGTGCACACACCGCGGCACGTATCGCGTTGATTACGCGACTGCTGATGCGACTTGTGTGTATGTGTGTACGTGTACGTGTGCGAGCGAGTGTACGTGTGGTGTATCTGTGTGTGTGTGTGTATGGTGTGCGCGCGTGCGTGTGTATGTGGGATTTGAGGAAAAATGGGTATCTGTATGCACGTATCACTTGTACGTGTGCGCACACTTAGGCACACGTGTCCGTACGCGAGTACGCGACGCCGTTTCGCAAGGGTGAGTGGCTGAACCGTGAGAGGAGCATATATGTGTCTATATACGAGGGCGAGTGACGTACGCAAGGGGTGTATGCTCGTGTATGTGCGCGCGCGAGAACGACGGAGCGCGTGTGTCGGCTTCGAGAAACAGGTACCGGCCTGCCGAGTGCCTAGGGGAAGACTGGACTCGGAAGCAGCGGCTCGGTGGCAGGATCCACGGGGAACGACGAGTGCGGCTGTGTGGATCTCGGTCTCTCGCTCTCGCACCAGCATTCCCACCCCGAATCCGCCTGTTACCCTCTCGCTCCCGCTCTCGCCCTCGCTCGCTGGTGTACGCGAACGAATGAACGGCTGCCGGGCACAGGCGCGCTGGCTGCCTCTCTCACCACCGACCGAGAATCAATACGTCGGCAGCCCCGTACTTTCGCCCGCGAAATCTCAATTTTTACCCTCGACATCGAGCCGATCTCGTCTTATTCTCGACCCTAGTCGTCCCCGGCGTGGCGCGACACGCTCGGTCTGACCCCGTGCGTAAACGGCAGTCGGAAATTACTCCGGGATCGTTTTTGTTTTTTTTTTCCTGCGACTCGACAGACCGCCTTTTTGCGCGCCCCGTGATGCACCGTCCAGGGGTACGCTAGCTTTTTGTCCCTCTTCAGCCGCTTAAAAAGCGCGGGAGATCCTTGTTCTCGACGGGAGTTCGATAGGAATCGAGAGACGATGTCGATGGCCGTTTTTTTTATGTCTACGTGAATTCTTATTATGAAAGTTCGCGCACAAGGAACCGCGAAGAGGAGGAAAAGAGAGACGGAGAAAAAAAAAAGAAAAATCGAGGTGGGAAACCGCTGACCGAAATCTTGTACACCATTGCCCACCAGTGCCCAGTGGGCATTACTTCATCTTATTATCTTATTTTATCTTATTTATCTGATCTTATTTCATCTTTATGACGCCCCAGCGAGGCCTAGTGCCCAAAAATGCCTAGTAATGCCCAGTAACGCCGCAAATCTGTACACCACAGTGCCCTCAGCGGTTTCCCCCTCGGAACAAAATATAGAGATTGTTTATATCTAATCGCAGATCAAATATTTATTACGCAAGCATGGCTTTATTATTATTTTTATGTCTCATATGAACATCGTTGCCACATATTTCATTACTGTTGCTGTTATCGAGAATTCGTCGAATAATGAAATATATAGAGCTTGAGGCATTCGATCCCTCTCGTAAAAGTATTCGTAGAACACAACTGACGAGTTGGAAATGTTATAATTACAAATTTCCAGCATTACGAGTACGCCCGGGGACGCGGCTCTGGTGCCGCAAAGTTCGCGGAGAGATAAAATTTAAAAGCGTCGTATTCGTGCTGCGTGCTTGGCCTTTAATGTAGCTCTTCGATTCTCACGTCAGTTTTAACACGTACGTTCGATACTATCGCCGAGCATGAAGCGCCTCGCTAGAGCGTTATAATAAGATTGACTTGTAGTCACTCGCGATTAGAAATTAGATAATCCCGCTATAATGTCTTGTCTGGGGCTCTCACCTCGACACCGTGAATACAGCGGTGTAACGTAATTACGAATAGCGGAGTTATCGTCGTTGGGTACGTAAAAGTTTCCGATTTGATACGTGACACAATTAGGGATGCTTCGCAGAAGGGCGGGGAGCCTCGATATTATCGGGGCGCAATTATTATCGGGATGGAAAAGGAGAATGTGAATAACCGCGAGATTTAATTTATTATGGTCGTAATGGCAATTTTTCTGTACTTCGTGGTTAGTGAAAAAGTTGCGTATGAGGAACGCCCCAGCACTACCGGTAACAAAATAATCCCTGATAGGGCACCAAGAGCGAAGTGTCACGAATGAGAAACGTTACCCACGGAGGCGAGGGATCTGCAAAGAGACGGGGAAAAGAATTGGACAGCGAGAAAAAAATAACTCGGGGCAGCGAAATGACCGAGCGGAGAAGCAAGGTGATCGTTATATATCTTTGCGGTAGCGTCGTAGTTCGAGAAATCTTTATTACCGAGCGGTACTGCGAGAAAAGGAAGGTTCAAACGTGACAATGATTACTTCTTTAAGCTAACGTAGGAGAAGAAAATTGAAAATTTCCTCCGAGACACATTTCCTGCTCTATATCTGTTTGAAAGTCCTGGCTAAGATACGTTATGTACTTCTACACGGCATCGATGGAGCATCTGCGTATGCGATGACATACAGTCGGAAGTACATAGGTACTCAGATAGTACGTATGTTCTCTCGCCCTTCCGAGTAGCGAAGGATTTCTATCTCCGCACGAGACATTCGGCCATGATGCGTCTCGTCAATGTTGAACTCGTGACAGTTGCGCAACAAATTCTTGCTTACCAACCCGCTAAATACGTCACGCGCGTTAGACAATAGCTGTAGCAGTCGGAAGTATCATCTGAGCGCAAAATTACTTTGTAAGCTAACATTATGAGCTTGCCTTTTGCGCCTGTGCCTAGTATAATAATACAATATTGTTATCTGCGTATCTTACCATACGCTGTGTAAGCGAGGTGGATGCTGCGCCTAATATCCTTTTTGAGAGAAATATGCGCCAACGAGGCGGCGCAAAAGTGGTACGAATTACGAGGTACGCTCGAGCGTAAGGATAAAAGCCGCAGATTACAACGTAGAGGTAAAGCGACAGGGGGGGGCTTCTTAAATGATACACGCGAGGGCGGGAATTTCTAGAGGACCAGCGAGCCTGAAATTAACGCGCGTTGCAAGATGTGCATTTTATACCATTTCCTCTTACGACATTATCGAGATGCGGCGTGAGAGATGGGAAGGAGTAAATAAGATTGTACGAATAGATACGCAAGATGGTTAACGTAATGTATTTATGATGCTGTACCGGAGCAGGTTGCAGCGTGGGTACACGTCTTGTACCCATCTACCGCAAACGGCTTCTAGGGTCTTTCTCGTACGTTCTCGTACCCAGACACTGTCTGATGCCGCACATAATACCGTATTGCACCGTGAAAACCGAATGAAGAATTTCACATGGCGGGCTTAATGCTCGTACTCGAGTCGTATTCCTCCTCGAATCTCCGAAATCGATATAGACCGAGATACTCCGGCGTCGGCTGTCGTAGATTTCAGTAAATTAACGTTTTTCTGGGACGCTTACTTGCTTCTCCCTCGAGTTGCTTTGTAAGTTTCATTTAAAGAGTCTCTATCGTCCTGTCGCAAAGTGCCCAGGTTCTTCGGAACAAAGTTCGCAGTCTTCGGAAAGTCTTTTGTACTTGCGACGAATGTTGCTCAAAGTTGGCGACATAAAAACACATAGTACGGATAAAAGCGAAAGGAAGGGTGCATTTCTTCTTCAGCGAGAAGTGATAAAGCATTAACAATTGTAAGTAAATTGAATTTCTGGAATCTAAGCCGGTATTGTGATTTCGTAGCCGCCATTAGCGAAAATTCGTTGGACTAATTCATTCTTTTCGTACTCTTCATTTATTATTTATAAGATTTCGTCTTTGATAAATTACTCTTTTAGATTAATCGACTGTAGAATTGCGATTTGTGATCTTTTAAATTGTGATATAGCAACACGTGATCGAAAAAGTGCATCGAAGAAAGGCAGTCTTCCTATTTCTTTTCTGTTCTCTCATTAAAACGCCGCTTGGCGATGTTCTGAACTGGATAGATTCCAGGTTGCGAGTTGGTTTTAAGAAAAACTTTCGGTATGGTACACATGTAGAGATTTTATTCAGAAAAAGCTGGTCTTTGTAAATCCTGTAATTTATTAAAACCTGCTCATCGTGAGACCGTAATAAAGCCAGTCCTTTTCATCATCCTTGCACTGACCTGGAAGTCTTTGCTTCGTTCGTCGAATGGGTTTTATTTTACAGGATCTTCCATCTCCATATCAAATTCAGCAGATATTTTACAGAGATTCATAAAAAAAAAACCCTGGAACCGCAACAGATTAGTCAGCGAATGAAGAACTTGGAGAAAAGACATTCGAACTAAACGTTCTAGTCTAGCAAGTCTATCTTGGGTTTCAATGAACAAACGATTTAAATATTTATTTCTTTAAAACTCGGAAAGAAATAATATGTGTACGCATTTGTTGTGTGTGTGTGTAGCACATTTGAAATGCAGTATGTAATTCGGATTAGAATGTTATCTCTTCATTTTATATGTTGACTTCAATTAGATTAGGATTTTTATGGATTTCTTACGGAAACTAGGTATGTTGCACATAAATGGTGAAATCTATTCGTGTCACTCTAAGCTTCATGTTGGTAAGTTGGCGTACAAGGTATATCCCTATTTATGGCACTCTTTTACTCACTACAAGCATGTCAAATGCGGCATGTGTTTTATGTGCGAAGGGATACATAACCCGCAACAAGTTACGACCGAGGGCGCCATTTTATGTCTGTCGCATACGAACAGTTATTCAGAATAATATTGGAATGTCTCGGATGCAGTTTTCTCCAATAATATACAACAATAAATTTGAAAAGAAAAATTCATTCTCTAAGAAAGCTCAAAATACATTTGCGAAAGGTCCAAGGAAGAAGTGATTTCGTGTTCGTATTTGTTTGCAAAAGTCCATGAAGGTTTAAATGTAAATTTTCAATGTAGATAATGACAGCAATGATGAAAAAGCATCTAAATGGACTTTCGATTATTATTGAAATGAAGCTCTAGAGTGTATATTTAAAGCTGCATTTAGATCAAGTAAACGAGCCTGAACAAGCACGAATGAACAACCTGCTTCGATGAATGCGAGCTACACTGCGAAATACAGACCAGGGATGGGAAAGTCGCTTTATAAAAGTATCTAGTTACAGTTTTTTTTTCGCTAAAAATGAAACTGGTTACGGGTTACCAATTCTGGAAAGTAACGCGTAACAGTTACAGTCACTTAAAAAGTAACGAATCGTTACATTGCAATTGCTTTCCTGCAATGAAAATAAAACTATCAAATTTGCATGTGAATTGTTAAGCGTCGATAAAGGTGTTTATGCGCAAATGCAAGGCCAAATGCGATCTGTGGAGGTTTACAATACATATAAAGTAACTATATGTTAAATTAGTCACTAGTTATCGAAAAAAGGTAACTGAGTTAAGCTACAGTTACAGACGGAGAGAAAGTAACGAAGTTAAGTTAGAGTTACCAAAAAATACAAAAAAGAAAGAAACCGTTACTGTAATTTCGTTACAAGTAATGAGTCACTTGCCAACCCTGTTACGGAC